CTCTGTGCTGAGATCACGTGGAGGATCTAACTTGGATTCATTGTGGTAACTCCTTGAGTTTCCCTCTCGTGTTACCCCTTGCATTTGCTTTTATGGTTTCAAAGATATTAAAAAACACAAAACAAAATCCATGGGAAGCAAAAACAAAACCAGTTCTGTGTTCTGTGGAGGTGATGGAGGGAATGAGTGACAACTTCTGAGTCCCCTGGGGTCCCCAGGGTTTTCTTTTGTTGTTCATGTTTGAGAAGTGAGTGAGGGGGGGAGGAGGGAAAAGCTTCAACAGCCTCTTGGATGTGGGGTCACTCGGTGCCAGCTGGCAGGACTGGTCTGCACAGGATGGGTTCAGGGACTGGTGCAGGGACTGGTGCTTCAAAGAAACTCCTGTTGCAGTTTCTTCTCCCTCTTCATGGAGCTCCAGGCAGGGATACTGAGGTGAAAGGTAGCACAGGCCCTGGTGAAAGAAGCTGCAGGGAGAAGAAATGTTGTCTTGGACTGGTAGAAAATGGGGAAATCTAGAAAATCTCCCCCCAAGCTCCCAGCTTGTCACTGTGTTTTCCCCCAGCCTGCAGCCTTGGGCTGGCTTGGTGTGAAAGCAGATGAGCAGGAGGAGCTGATGCTGGTTCTACCCCAGTGCTTTGGATGATTTAGAAATCTCTCTGGCTTTTGTTCTACTTGTTGGACTGAGGATCACTGGAAACTTTCACACTGGAAAAATGGCAGGGCTTGGCAGGAGCAGAAGATGCAGTTTGGGAAGGTGGTTTGTTGCAGGGTTCACTTCTTTCTAGTTTTTTTCAAATCAGACCCAGGGCAGGTTTTTCCAGCTCCCGGGTTTATACACACCAGACATAACCCTTGGTGACTTGGAGATTCCAGGAGTGTTTGGATTGTTGGAAAAAAAGACATTTCCTGGAGTGCAGAAGTGAGTGGCTTTGCTTTGGGTAGAGATCTGAGAGCACAGAGCTCTTGTGTCCCTGCACATGCTGTGGCCAAGCCCAGGTCCCCCTGCTGGTGTTTTGATTAGTGACTGGGGTGATGGATGCCTAGACTCAGGCACTGGGTGCTGAAACATTTGCTGAATCTTTTCACTGGATGGAATTTGGGGTTTTTTTTACATATTTGAGCCTTGTCTTTTTTTGTCTTCAGCCTCCCCTGGTCCAGGTGTGAAGTGGGTGGGAGGTGATAGCAAAGCCCATTAAAAATGCCAGCGGTTATTGGGAGTGGAGGCCACTTTCTGTGCTACCCAGACACCCTCTGGGAAAAAAATAAATAAATAAGCACTACAGTAAAGCACAGAGTGATTTCTAAACTGAGCTTCCAGCTGGGAAGCTCTCAGAGGTGATGGTGCTGTTAGAGATCCCATTGGTAACACTAGCAGCCCAGAAGATGCCGCGTTGGGGCAGTTTGGTGTCAACCTCCTTTGGTTTTCCTCTGGACAGTTGAGCAGTTGCAACAGGGAAAAGCCACTTTCTGGCTTCTCCTCCAGCAGGACCATCCCAGGACTCCAAAAAATGTTGCCACATTCAACAGGATCTTCAGTGAACTGGGGAGCACCCGGCAGGTGTCAGGGCAGGAGAGAACAACCAGCTTTGTGCTGATGTTCTCCACCTCCTCGACTTCAGCGCTGACATTTCTCCTCCCCTCTGTTACTGCCTTTAATCCTGAGTGTTGAAGGGGCCTGGGAGGAGAAATCTTCAGAGGTGTCTGGCAATCAACCATTCACTGGTTTGAACTGGTGCTCAAACCTCCTGAAAATCTAGACAGGAGATCTTCAGGTAAGGCCAAAACAGTTTCTGGGTTGTTGTTTCCAAGAAAACTTGGCCCAGGTACGTTAAAAGACCCATCTCTCCACTCACAATCCAAACCTGCAGTTTGTGTTCATGGGATCAATACAAGGTTGAAAGGGACCTCAAGGATCATCTGGTCCAGCTTGTCCTGCCCCTCCTGCCCCCTCTGCCTGTATCATCTGCCCTGATCCATTTGGTGACCCCACACCCTTGGCACCTTCTCCGTAAGGATCTGAATCCTGCAGGATCATGTTGGGGTGTTTGCTCTGAGCTCTGCTGTTGGATGCTTGGCCAGTTTAGGGCAAGCCTTCCCAGTCTGGTGGGGTGACCTTGTGCCATGTGCTGCTTTTCCAAAAGGAAAATATGTGTGTGTGTCAGTTCCCCAGAGACCAGGCGCTGTGTCCCGTGTCAGCCCCATCCTGTTCCCGTCTCGTTCCGCGTCCGTTTCTCTCACCTACAAATAAAGCATTTGTGAAAAGCCCGGGGTGGGAATTCCTTCTTTCCCTTTAGCTGCAGCTCCTTGGAGCAGCCTGTGGATCCAGCTGTTCCTGGGACGTCCTTGGGGCCAAACCCAAGGCTTGGGTTTTTCTGGTGACTCACGGAAACCTCTCATCATCGGAAATATTCCCCCCTCCCTTTCCCAGACTCCGAGGTGGGGAGGAGGGGGTGATGCCTCAGCCACAGCTTTTGCTTCTTCCCTTCCTCTCCCACGTGTACAGAAACATCTGGAAGTAATAAACCCTGGCGCTCTGGCTGTGTCGTGTTGGACCCTGTGTTTTATAATAGGTGGTTGTTTCTCTGTGAAGAGCAGGAATTTTGGAATTTCCTCTGAAATTTTACATCCTGCTCCTCTTCCCCAGGCCCAAGTGCTGCTTCACAGCTCATTCCCTCTGTGGACAGGGAAGGGTTAATCTGAGGCTGGGTAAAGCCCAGTCCCAGAGTGGATAAATGCACCTTTTTTAACCCAAAGCAGGCAGAACCCTGGGAGATGTCTGCCTGGGCTTTCCACCCCCCTCCCTAATTTTTGGCCTTTTGCTTCTAGCTAGAAGAGGCTGGGAGGTGACAGAGGGGCCTGGACCCCCGTGGGGAGCTGAGTCCCCCTGGGCTCCTGCATCTCCATCCAGCAGGATTTTAACCTGCATAGATGAAAAGGTGGATGTGGAGTCAGGGAGTTTCTCATCTGTGGTCCCCTCCTGCTTGACCCTCGCTTCAGCAGGGTTGTTTCCCACTGGAAGCACCCAGGGA